TGAATAACCATGGAAGGAAAAGATTCATAGAAAATTGGACGTCAGTGAACTTTATATTTTCCATAGTTGCTACGTTTTGCGACTTTTATGGTAAGTCAATTTGTTGAAAAATATTTACAATAATAATGGTTTGAAATCAAGAGTTGAGGTATACAGAATATTCTCTCAAGTCGCCTCTGCAAGACAAATAAACAGTTTAAAAAGAGAAAGATCCTCCAGAGAGTCTAAATATTACTCATTGCCAAGTATGTAATTGTGTTATCGCCTTGTTGGAGCTAATGTTGATACAACACTTTTCTATTTTTGCAGACAGGTGATAGAACTTTGGGTTTTTAACATGATTAATGGGAAATTGTTTCATGTGTTGAATTGCTGCTATCTCATAAATCTTCAGCAACATTTGAAAGCCTCCCTTAAAAAGCTTTAATGCAACTATCTCGAGCTTCTGATAAATAATTTAATAAGTTCTGCTTAAACCTTTACTTATTGATGCTCTCTTTCTTGTAAATGGCAAGAACTTCTATCTGTATGCTACATTACAAGATTGTTTTATTATTTTCATATTATTGTCAGTGCCAACAGCATAGACATTTTGGTTGTTCTTCATTTCATGAGGTCCCAAAACAATATGGTAGTTTCACTTATTGACATGGAAATTGGACTTTTAAGAAACCGAGATAAGTGATTCATATTTGGTTGTCTTTTAACCCATAAAAAAATCATCAAATTTCTGGTTCTTTTTGTGGTATCTGTTCAATTAATATTTGATTACATGCTCAACTTTGAATGCCATTCTGATACATCTATGCCACTTGCAGAAGTTCTCTTGAATTCCTTGAACGCAAAGAAGCAACTTTTGTCAGCGTGGGATTCGTTTAATTAAAGAGTTCGTGTAATGTACAAACATGTCATCAACAACGAATATTTGGGCAACCCGGAAAAAAAAAGGTTGGTACCTGTACATGTATTAGTGTATACATCAAATACTCATCTACGCATGTATCTGCAAAGATTAGGGGTATCCAAAAGTCCCGAACCGAATCGAACGGTTCTTCATAAATTAAATACCCGAACGGGTACCCGAATCAAGAACCGATGGATTTGAGTCGGGTCTCGGGTCTAGATCAAGAACCGAAAAATCGAATAAGAACCGAAACTAAATAATTTTTTTATTTTTTATATTGAATTAATTAAATTATTTTATTTTTTTCTATACAAATTTGCAAATTAATTAAATAAATCAGATTATTTCATAATTTTAATTTTAAAGCTCAAATCATTTTTAAAACCCATTAGCCCATTTTAATTTGAAGCAAATGAATATACTTTATGTAGTGTTGCTGTAATATTAATATCTACTTTTTGGTATTTGTATGCATTGAATTAATCTTATTGGACGGCTAGTT